GCACTGGATCAAGTTCACAAGATTTTTTACCAACTTTATCAATAACATTTTCAATCTCATGTTCCGTGACTTCTTGAAAGTTAATGAATTTAACGCATTGTGCATACTGTTCCTCTTGATTTCGCTGATTACAGTGGGAAGAATCGATGGCTAGTTCTTTCCATATAATAGCAATCTTATTATTGAAGAAATCTGAAAATTTATTCACAAGTTCAGTCGTTGATGACGCAGTTGGATAGCGCTTTTCTGGCTTTCGATGGACTAATTTATCAACCGTACTAAATAAAACTTTCTGATTATGTGCATTACTGGAAATAACCGATGAGTAGTATGTTGTCTTAGCATTCTTTATCATGGCATTCACTGTCTCACATTGTTTGACATATAACTGTCTGTCAATACATAGTCCAGATGCGCGCCAGCGGCGCTCTAGTTTCCTGCGATTTCTTTCTTCTTGACCAATCTCCTCATTGTACCATGGTGATAAAGGACGAAGAGTTATAATTCGTCGTTTTTGTGGAGCATGCTGCTGTAATGTTTCTTTCAACGTATTTTCATATTTATCAATAAGGACTGAAAGATCATAATCGTCATTTAAATCTAGTACTTTTAGATCTTCATTGAAACTATCCATGTTTACATTGTTTAATTTTCGATAATAAATTTCAGCTTGTTCTAATGGTGGTTTCTCTAACTGTAATGTACAATGTATGGCAAGATGATCTGATATTACTGGATCATGTATTCTGATACCAGTCACTAATTTATCTTCATTCCTTGTTATAATCAAGTCTAAGGTGTGGCCTTTCTTGTGGGTTGGCCCATTGACGTGCTGTTGTAAATTGAACGATTCCAGTATCTTGTTGAATTTAATAGTATCTGAATCTCCAATGTTGTCTATATGAAAATTAAAGTCTCCTGCCATTAATATATTGCCAGGTAATATGATCAACTGTTCCACAAATATGCAGAATTCTTCAAAAAATATTGAGCTGCTTAATTTATTAGTCTTCGATGGGGGTGGTCTATAAATGACAATCATTCTGGTGCAGGTATTACGGCAGTTCAAGGTGACATCAACATATTCAAAAGAAGAGAATTTTCTCTGAGATTGTTTTTTGACTTTAATATATTTCTTCAGTAAGAGACCAACTCCTCCACCTCGTGCATTTTTCCTTGTAATGTGATAAAAGTGATACCCCGTTGGGCAGATTTCAGCAGTAGAAAATTCATTATCATCCTCACGTAACCATGTCTCAGTCACTGCTAGAATATCAATATCGTTCTCAGACACATAATCATTAATAAAAAGCTCTTTCCTATTTATTGATCTGGTGTTCAACAGGCAAAAGTTGATAGGCATAAAATAAGTCTTCTGTTCCCTTGTACAATTGACATAAATTAAATTATTAAAATTTACAGATCGAGTTCGTTCCGTATTCTTAGTATCTCTCGAGGGACTATTTGCATCTTTTTCAGCACTCATTACATGATTTCCTAATAATAAAATTGGAACCACCCTATTTTTTCTCTTCCCCATGATTCCGTACGAAAATCCTCGTTATTTCTTCCATTATTCCCATTTCGAATTTTCGACTGTTCGTAGGGTTTTGAAATATTACTCTTACAATAATCAGTACAAATATTTTTGCACTCATTTCGTTTTGAATTGGATTTTCTACCCACGTTTAATTTTTTACTCGTTTCCTTGTAGTAATACGGGTGGGAATGGGTTGTTGCTGATTATTATTATAATTGGACTGGTTTGCGTTATTATTCTGATAAAAGCGTTGTCGTATATATCCATCTTGCTTATCATTTAATTGGCTATGTGTGCTATTGGAGGACTTTGTCTGGGTTAATGAATATAGTGTGTTGCCATTACAATCCTTTCTCTTATTTGCGTAACGAGCTTTACTCGAGATATTTGAAATATGTAATTGGATTTGTGCTGGGCTCTCAGAAACGGAATTATTCTCGCCCACACTAATAGTGTTCAATTTCGCATCATTTAAACATTGCTCTTGGGTTGCAATTTGCGATGTGATCTCATTTGGCTTTACAAGCTGAGTAGGAGCATCAAGGCCGGGATTATGACCATCATTACTCAAAACTATAGAAATTTCTCTCTCAGAACTTTTATTCGACTGCATTGAGGCGTTTAAATTTGCATTTTCCTCTTGACTGAATTCTACATTAGCTACCATAGAATTACCGCTTTCGTTTTCCTCATTACCGGCATCATAATTTGACGCATTACCAGATTGATAATTATACTCGAGTGCAATGTCCTGTGAAGAACACGCTTGAGAGGATAATTCATTAATTACTGCATCATGATTAGTAATTTCTATATCAATATGAACAATTGCATAATGAACAATTGATCACGAAAGTGATTAATCTCTTTATTTATTTTACCAATCTCGATTTGATTTGCCGATTTATTCAGTAGGTTGTAAATTTTATGCGTTAGATCGAATAAGCAATTCAGTCTCTCAGCAAATTCAGACATTTCTGCCCTCAAATTTCCGCAGTTTTTACATTGAGGGCTTTCATGAATAGTCTGAGAAGCACAGTCTTTAACAGCTGTTTTTAGTAGTTCGGGAGCGCTCGCATTATTGTTGGTACCTTGCGGCTCCGCTGTGTTCACTGATAAACTGTCTAACATAGCATCTGTTTGTCTTACTATATGATCTGTATCTAAAACTGTTACCAGAATTTGTTTGAATAGCTCACCATCCTTTCCATGAAGCAATATCGAGTTCTGCTTTCCCGGGTACCAGGTCAAAGTAAAATCAAACGTTGAACTTTTAAACTGCTTAGCATTTCCACCAGGTGATTTCCAAGTGCCGGTCAAACCAATAACATTTTCGACATAATTCTTTAATGAATTAAGGTCACCGGTCCACTTTATACGACTACCAGTATAAGTTAAGTTAGCTTCATCATTTAATAGCTATTGGTATCTATTATAGCTATTGATATCACCAAATTGATAGCTATTGGTATCACCAAATTGGAGACTAGACGTGAAGATCTATGTTTGAAGACACTCACGAAGATAACCAGAGGTGGTCCGCTTACACAACACGTGACACAGACTAGATCGAACGAGCATAATTATTTTATTAGATCATTAAATAATTTATCAACTTACAAATGTCGAACCGATCGGTTTAAAAATAGCTTTTTCCCAAATACAATTAATATCGCTAATAGTAAATAGTGACTGGTGAGACTTGATTTTAACTTTGTTCTAACATCCATTGTAAATAATCTTATATTATTATAGTATTTTAATGTAAGCACTTTGTACTTCACTTTATGTGCGAATTTGTGCTATTAAACATCATCTTATATTATATTATCTTACCCGCGACCCGCGACATTTTACCCGCGACACACGACTTTTTACCCGCGACATTTTACCCGCGACACGCGACCATTAGTCAAACTCAAATGCGATATATATAAAGAAACAAGTTATCAAAACATACCTTTGAGAAAACGAGATCTTCACTGCAATATTAATATTTCAACATGTACAGTTTTTAATCGAACGGCGCATTGAGAATAAATATCTTGAATAATAATGAGCCGATTTGCGCGTGCATTTTGGAAAGACCTTCATTCCTCCTCTGGGCTCATACGATTTCCTGCTCTCGCGTTATTACTCTGCTTACTCTCTGAGGACTGTACTCAGTTCTTTTTATACAAATAGTATAATAATAGAGGATATTTTACACGCGCACTCGATCAAGTATTTGTGACTATATATAGTCAGGCAGATAGAGGGAAAACACTCAACAATTGAGGGGCAATTTCGTTTTATTTTAGAAATGTTCTTCTAAACCTCCTAAATACATTTCCGGATGTTGACCGGTCCAATTTTTCTTGTGAGGCTTGCCCAACAAGCTTTTCTGTCATCATCGATTGATTTCTACAATTTTGTTTATGTTTTTCGCGGGAAGAAACGAACTCTCAATGTTTCAGTCCAGCGGCAGGTTAGACACTTCAAGTATGATAAATAAAGCGGCAGTATCGTTTGCACAGTAAGAATTGCCAAACAGGAGATATTACTTTAGAAATAAAAGATGTAAATTTTGGAATTATTATTGGGACAAAAATATAGAAAGTCATGCACACAGAAGAAAAAACACAAACCAATCGAGGTGCAATTTCACTTTACTTGAAATTTGTTCATTTCAGTGTGCTGAACACAAATCCGGATGTTGGCCGTGGCGCCGTACAGTGGCGTGCTGGCAGTGAGCCCTCCCCCCCCCCAGCTAGCAATTCTTGGTGAGGGGGCGCCAAAATGGAAATGGGGCGCCGTTCCAGCGCCGAATTTTGAAAGTGGGTGCGAAAAAACGTACTCGAAAAAATATAGTTACTTCCGCTTAGAAAACATGCGTTTATATAGGCTATAAACAGGCTAAGCGCACAGGTGACAAAGTGATATATTAAATGACAGACTATTCTGTTTAACCGTATTTGCTAATCGTTCATATAGATACATGATCAGTGATGTTGATCACACGCAATGTCTCATTACCGGAATATTGGTCAGGTTTCGAAGCGATCATGCGAATTATGCCCTTTTTTGCTGGTATTATGCCCTTATATTATGCCCTTTATTATGCTTCACGATCATGAGAGCGTCGCAAATCAGATAGTTGAAGTTTTGATATCGTAGAGTTGTGTGCGCAATTTAGTTGTTTGCGCAAGAAAAATCAGGAGTAATGTAAGTAATGAAATAATGCTGAAACGCGCCCTTTTGCAGCCAGGCAAGGAAACCTTAGAATGCATATGCGTGAGATCCGTGCGTAGAATTGAATTGGGATTAGTATTAAATTGGGATTAGATTATATAAATTGGAATTAGATTACAGAATTGAATTGGGATTAGTTTAATCGCTTGAAGTAGTTCGCATTGCCCAATTTAAGTACTGCTACTAAATTCTAACCAAATTGGAAATTTCGACACGTTATCCCCGAGCCGATGGCGCGAAGCGCCGATGCGAGGGTACTAATTCCCCCCGGCTATTTACACCCGGCGAAACGAAAACACTAGCGGAGTCTAAAGTTCATCAGATATCGCGGGCGTGGGTCACCAACGGTGTTGGGTGGGTGGTCATCACTGAGGTGGTCATCCTCACTGATCTCAAAAATATGGCGGACTGTCACGAATAGCGGACACTGATTGGTCCAATTTAAAGTTTGCATTATAACGACTGCATGACGACAGCGAAATAGCAAACATTTCTTGAGTTGATATGATGATTGATAAATTTCTTGCAAATATATTTCATTTTTGCTCGCATTTTTGCAAGATTTTGTAAATTTCAAAAGCTCTCTGAGAAAGGAACTGCGAAAGAATCGGCTAAAAGAAGGGAGCCGACGTTAACGAAGGTAAGTTTGTTTTAAATATTGATTTTATAATGAGTTTAAAACCCGACGGCTTTTGCGTATATGAAACAACTAAACAAGACAGCATATAATTTCAGTGTATCTTTAATATTGATTCCCTTTTTTATGATATTGAAATTTTTAAATAAATAAGAAAGCAAACTTATTTGCAAGCGAGAATTTTAAATCATTTTATTGCAAACTCAAAGTTTATTGATAAAGCCATTTTAAAAGGCAGTTTAGTTTTATATTATTAAAAGAACACTAATGACTTTAAAACGCTTTGCGAAGCGTTTGTGGTTGAATTGTACCTTAAATCGAGGCTTATATTACGTATAATAACATACCTAATATATATATATATATGTTGGGAAATTAATAATTTTGTGATAAAAAGTGATATTTATAAGCGATTTTTCATTTGTAAGAATATTCTTAAAAAATTATCGTGTTACCATGACAACTTAGATACTTCATGTTCGGAAAATACAATGG